ACAGGGCCTTATATTACTCCTGCATAGGGATGTTAAATTTCGATTAATTAACTAATTGAATAGTCAGTGGGATTTCCATCGACTATTTGACTAACGACTAGTGTGGCATTCTGCCTTTGAAATGTACAAGAGCCTCCAGACTCCACATGGGGTTTCAATCTTTGAAATGTACAAGAGCCCCAGAGGAGTCTCCTGTATATTTCAAAATTGGAATTCTGCCGCTGTACCGCTGGCCCCTCCCATGGAGCTGGGGGGGAGGCACTGGCTTTTAAGCCATCTCCCTCCAGCACCCCCTCTTTCTGCCCCCCCTTGCTGCCTCTTTTTGCCTCAGCAAGGGGAGGGGGGAGCGATTAGTCGACTAGTGTGTTGACTAGCTGACAAGCTTCTGCTTATCCGACAGTTGATTAGTCACTTACATCCCTACTCCTGCACTAGGTGAGTTCTCCCTCTGCCTACCTTTGCACTGCCAGAATAGGGTACCCAGTGTGTAGACCAGGACACAAAAAAGCTACCTGGTAAATGAAGTAATTTAAGATGAACCCTGAGCCATGATGAAATCAGAGACCTCTATGCACTTGATGAAGCGGGTTTATGAAGTTCAATAGGCCAACTCTGCCAGCCAAAGAGTCATGTTAGGAATACAGGATGAGTCTAGTGTAAGTTATGCTGAGTGCAGTGGCAGTGCTCTAGGTTTATACCTCCATACTTCAGTTCAGAATCCTGAGCCATTTTTGTACATCATTTTTCCAACTCTACCTCCAAAATGGAAATGAGAATCTCATTTTCACTGGTATAAAGATGACACCACAAATATTACTCTTATGTAGCTGTAATTTATCTTTCCACATGGAGAACCTAAATCTCTGGTTAAAGTTACACAGTGGCAGGTACAAGACATTTAAGGTAACACACACTGTTGCTGCTGTAGGCCGACCATACAGCACATCCCAGGGGTTCCTCCATTCCCCCCTCCACCAGCTCTCTGGGTATTATTCTCCCATGCTCTTCCATTTCAGGGTCCCTCAGTAACCCTCCACGTGCTACCTCATCTTGGGGACTCTGCATACTCTTGCAAATCATTGGTGCTTGATTGACCTCTCCACATTGTGATCTTTACGGTGCAAAAGTAGTTAAAATGTATCAATCATCATCATAATCCATAACAAGTATTAATGGGAACAGATGCAAAAAGAAGAGACAGCCTGAATTAGTCCAAACAAAAAACTACACTGATCAGACTCAAAGTATTTGTGAACCAAAATCAATGTGTCTAAAATTAGCCTATTTGATTATCAAAATAATGAGGGAGAGTTTGTGCTGCCTATCTTTATCTTTTGGAGCCACATAAAGAGAGCTAGGGAAACCAATTAACTGATTGGGAACTGTCGGACTGAGAGACAGGTGGTCTGAAAGGAACTAGCTTGGTTGTTATGGCCACTAGCTTCACTATCTCCTGGAGCCTCCACAACATCATCAGACCTCTGTTGTTCTGATCCTGAGAGATGTTCTGACCAGGACTGGGCCAGAGACGGGGAAGGATTCAGATGACACTGCCATCTCTCTAGGTTCAGGCTGAGATAGGAGACTTTGTTCATCCTTTCACCCTTTCCCTCCGATGTCATTTTCCTTCCCCATCTTTTTTTTCCCCTTCGGTTTAATAAGCATCAGAGCTAGCCAGCCAGACTGCATATTCTGCAACACTGCTGTGTGCCTGTGACCACAAACACAGCTAAAAGCAATGCCCTAAATAGCCTGCCACTGGTAGAAGTTAGCCAGGTCTCAGAGCAGCTGACAAAGACCATGCACTATGCTTGTGGTTCTCCAGCAGTGAGATTCTGCAAGTGAGGTTGCTGGTTTTTCTCTTCCATTTTGTGTTTGTTTTTACTTCTGTGATGTGGGATAGCTCTTTAACAGCAGCAACAGCTCCAGACAATCTCAACTGACTTTTCTCTTTCTCCTCACTCCCCAAAGAAGACTACTGATCATTCTACAAGCAGGCAAATAAGATTAGCTAACACACACGACTTAGCATTAATCGGGGATTCTAACTTCCTTGTATTTGCTGGAAGGACTACTGCAGCAAAACAACTTTTTTATTCATGAAGTTAAAGACAGAACGATGGGGTCATCCATTTTGGATTTGGTTTTGACTGACAGAGATGAATTAGTTGCGAACATGGAAGGCAGTTGGGAACTTGGGAGGAAGTGATCATGATCTGATAAAATTCAAGATACTATGTAAATGAGGATATGAAAGCAGCAAAACAAGGACACTAGTCTTCAGAAAGGTAAATTTCAACAGAGGCAAAGAAATACTAGGCAAGGTCCTACCGAAAGACTAATTAGGAAGAAAAGGAGTTGAAGGGGGCTGGCAGTTTATGAAAGATGTAACGATAGAGATTCAACATCAAGCTATTCTGACATTGAGGAAAGATAAGAAGAGCCCAGGAGGTTACTGTGATTGAACAAGGAGTTTTTTAGCTGTCTGAAAACCAAAAGGAAATCATAGAGGAAATAGAAGGAAGGGGCATATCACTAACTAAGGAAGTATACATGGGAATAGCCTAAGTATGTAGGGACAAAATCAGGAAAGCCCAGGCAAGAAAAGAGTAACAGCTGGCAAGAAATGGCTCCTTCTCGAGACAACGAGAAGTAATTCATCAAATAGGTCAGACAATAAAAAAAAGATCAAGGCCCGTATAGATCCCCCCCCCCCCACTGCCCTGGGATGCTCCAGCCCCAGAGCACCCATAAAATCAGTGCCTATGACTGTGTCCAATTTTGGTCACCAATGTATAAAAAGGATGCAAAGAAACTGGAAAGAATCCAGAGGCGAGCAACCAAGATGGTCAGGTAGATGGAATGCAAGCTGTATGAGCAAAAGCTGAAGGAACTGAATATGGTTAGTCTGGAAAAGAAAAGATTGAAGAGGGATATGATAGCGGTCTTCACATAATGAAAAGCTGCCAGAACCAAGATGGAGAAAAATTGGGGATTTTTTGTCCCTGAGCGCAGGTTCAAGCTACAGCATAGCCGATTTAGATTAAATCTCAGGAAAAAACTTCCTAGCTTATGCAAGCTTGCTAGGGAGGTTTTCATTAGGAGGCTGGATAACCATCTACCTTGGATGGTTTAGACACAGCCAACCATGCATCAAGGTAGTGTGGGCCAGACTAGATAATGCTTGCAGTTCTTTCTAACCAGATGAGTTATTATTTTTAATCCCATCCGAGAGACTCTCAAACAAGGTTTTTTGCCCCTTCTAAAGACTCTCTATAGCAAATGAGAAACCAGGCATGCTGTTAAAACAAAAGCCTTTTTTAATACTGTACATCTCAAATGCTTTCACTATGTTTTCTTCTTTTTCTGTATCTGTAATAAAAGTTTCAAACAATTTTTTATTGTGTTTTCTATGCTAATAAGCAGGCTGAAGGCTCTGCATTCCAAAACCTCAAATCTTACTTTGCTAATTAGTGTTGTTCAGTGATATGGTCAACATGGTTAAGACCCTGGACTCTGTGAGCCCCTTTATTCCATCAAAAACAATGTAACAGTGCATCTGTATTCGCCTCTTCCTGCACTCATGCCATGGTCCCCAGATCCCACCTTTCCCTTATACCAGAGCCCCTGTGTGCCCCCCACTTCCACCTTCCCCCGTCTGCTAGGATCTCACAATCTCCCCCTTCCATGTGTAGGGCTCTGCCTACATTCCTCATATGGCCCTATTACTTCCACCATACTTATATTTTTTTGTCTTTTATTTCTTCATTTCTTTCTCTTTCAGAGCACTAATATTTTAAAACTGCACTGGGACTATATGCAGAGCTAAGACGGGGGGAAGAAGATGTGCACTGTCAACTTGTTCTTTGATCTGTAGCAGAGGTGAAAATAAGGGGGTTTGCCCCACTGTGCAGCTCTGGCAAGAACTGGCTGAGCTGCAGGAAAAGCCAGCAGGGAGCTATTGAAAGAGCTGGCAGGGACCTGGATTGCGATAGGACAGTACCTGTAAGAAATTTAAGTTTCTTACACTATTCCATCCTCTTCTATTGTTGTAGTTCTACCATGCAATTTTCTTTTTTCAAAGAATTCTCTCCCTTCTGCTGTGCTAAAGACTCACATGAACAGCAGGAGAAAGTCACACTTTGCTCTGCGGCTTTGTATTTTGTCCATGTTAGGAAGGGACAAATAACTTCTCAGTTGAAAACCCTTACTATTGGAACACACACAGCAGGATCTTTACAGCCTCACCGTGGCTTTGCCATGAGTCCTGAGCAAGAGGCAGCAGATTGTTTTGCTGCTTCCGGAGCAGAGCAGATGGCAGATTGTGACCCCCCCCCCCAGAGTCACAAATTTGCCTTTCATGTTCCTCATTGCTTGGAAGGGGAAATAACTTGTGCCAGGTCTGTAGCTGTCATGGCAGGGTTTCCTTGGTGTGCCAGCGAAGCTACACTCACCAGTGCAATGAAGCAGGGCAGGAGAAGCAGAGTTCTTTCCTGACTTCAGCTCCTTCTACCCACCTGTACAGAGGTGGAGAAGCCGCCATTTTTGTGAAATTTGCTTTTTCTTGACACTGCACCCTGTGGCATTGACCGCTGGCACGAGGAAGAGCTTTACACCTCTTCTTCTCCTCTACATTGCTGCCTGATACAGAACTCTGTCGACAGAAGGTGTCATTGCCTGTAACACTGCGTCCAGACTACGGAGTTCTGTCGACAAAGCGGCTTGCTTTGTCGACAGAACTCCATGTGTCTGGACGCAAATTGTCGACGGAAGTTTTGTCGACAGTATCTGTCGACAAAACTTCCGTCGACAAAACGCGGTAGTCTAGACGTACCCATAGAGAGAAAACACGTTTGATGGCAACTCAAGTGGAAACATCTGAGCTAACTTTATTCTAGCCAGCTCAAGTACCTGTAGCAATACATTTTTGGCAGCATGTGACTCAATGCAGGCTAGAACCCCACCCACACACACCTAGGTGCTGTTTAACTGTGGAATACCTTAGCTAGGTCTGCATTTTCTGCTACCATGTACGTGAAGCTGATGTTCACCAGATCCGTGCCACTGCAGACACACACTATCCGTCCTTCCAGCTCATTTTCTGAATTTCCCCCAGTCTCAAGAGCAGCTAGTATTTTGGGATCCTGTTAAAAGGAACAAACCACTTGTTAGACGTGCAGTACTCTAAGACTAAGTTAAAGACATAGCTCAGGTTCACATGCATTAGGACTGTAAATACTTCTCAATCACCTTAAATGAGTTCTTTCATTTAGAATCATTGGGCATGATTGGGGGACAAAAAATTGAATTTAATGATTACTGAATGTGGCTGAATCATAAGAGCAGAGAGATAATTGCAGTATTTTAAATCCATTTCAGAAAATTACTTTCACGGAGGAGGGAAATGGATGACTTTTAAGGACTGTAATAGTTTATGGAAATTCTTAACTCGTTCTAAATCCAGTCCACCTCAGCAGTGACCAAGATTAGTTGCACGGAATGAGCAGTTGATTTCTTTCCATTTCTTAGCAGCTCTTTGATACTATGGCTGGCAGTCAAGAGCCACAGATTTAATACGCCTGGAGACTGAAGTATCCATAGACATTGGGTATGTGAAGAAGAAGTTTGAAATGTATTGGGTAGACCAGGCCCACTGACATGGGAGGAAATGGGGCAATTTCCCTAGCACTCAGTGTTTTGAAGGGGGACAGAGCTCTCGGCTGCTGCCAGTGGCGGCAGCAGCAGCTGGCAGCTCCAAGCCCCTTTGAATTACCACAGGGGTGCCGGAGTATCAAGCTGGGCCCTCTCCACTGCTCTGAGGACTAGAGGAGGGGGCAGTGCCACAGTCTGGGTGGCACTAAAGGCGAACTGCCCTGGGCCCTGACTTTTCCACCCAAGGCTCCTCTCTTTCTGGGGAGCACAGAGCCAGGCCCCACACACACCTTGGCTCCACTTGGTGGGGCACCATGGGGCAGTCTGTATTGCCACAGCCCACAATCTACTTTGTTGGTTGGAGATTTCAGCCTATCACCTTGCAGGAGAACTAAATAATACAACTATAGCTTTAAAGTGAAAAGTCTATGATTTTTAAGTAGAAGGTAGTCCAACCGGAGCGGCTGTATTTGACATTGCTAATAACAGATGTCATTCTGGACAATTAAATAGCAAAATTCTGCAAAGCCGTTATGTCTAAATTTCAACTCAGAAAGATTTGTAAATTCTAGATGCATTTTCAAAAGAAATCTATATTAGAAACAGGGCTGTCAAGCAATTAAAAAAATTAATTGCACGATTAATCACACTGTTAAACAATATTACAGTACCATTTATTTACATTTCCTTGGATGTGTTCTATATTTTCAAATATACTGGTCTAAATTACAACACAGAATACAAAGTGTCCAGTATTCACTTTACTTTTATTAATAATATTTGTACTGTAAAAATAAAAGAAATCGTATTTTTTCAGTTCACCTTAAACAATCTCTTTATCAAGAAAGTTGAACTTACAAACAGAGTTGTGTACGAAAATAACTGTAATCATAAAACAGTGTAAAACTTTAGAACCGAAAGTCCACTCAGGCCTACTTCTTGCTCCACCATTCACTCAGACAAACAATTTTGGTTACATTTATGGGAGATAATGCTTCCTACTTCTTATTTACAATGAACAATTGTTTGCATGCCACTGCTATAGCCATGCTGCAAGATATTTATTTGCCAGGTATACTAAAAATTCATGCATACCTTCATGCTTCAACCACCACTCCAGAGGACATGCGTCCATGCTAAAAGTGGGTTCTGCTCAATAATGATCCAAAGTAGTATGGACCAACACATGTTCATTTTCATTATCTGAGTCAGATGCCAAAGACTGATTTTCTTTTTTGGTGGTTCAGAGTCTGTATTTCCACATTGGAGTGTTGCTCTTTTAAGACTTCTGAAAGCATGCTCCGCACTCTGTCTCTCTCAGACTCTGGATGGCACTTCAGATTCTTAAACTTTAGGTAGAGCGCTGTAAAAGTATTTTAGAAATTTTACACTGATGTCTTCTTTGCATTTTGTCAAATCTGCAGTGAAAATGTTCTTGAAGTGAACAATATGTGCTGGGTTATCATCCGAGACTTCTATCACATGAAATGTAAGCCAGAATGAGGGGAAAGCAGAACAGGAGACCTACTGTTCTCCCCCAAGAAGTTCAGTCACAAATTTAATTAGCGCATTATTTTTAATGAGCATCATCAGAATGGAAGCATGTTCTCTGGAATGGTAACTGAAGCATGACGAGACATACGAATGTTTAGCATTTCCGGCGTGTAAATACCTTACAATGCTAGCTACGAAAGTGTTATGAAAACAGCTGTTCTCACTTTCAAGTAACTTTGTAAATAAGAAGTGAGCAGTATTCTCTCCCCAAAATGTAAACAAACTTGCCTTTCTTAGCAATTTGCTGAACAAGAAGTAGGACTGAGTGGACTTGTAGGTGCTAAAGTTTTACATTGTTTTGTTTTTCAGTGATGTTACGTAACAACAAAAAATTTACATCTGTAAATTATGCTTTCACAATAAAGAAATTGCACTACAATACTTGTATGACGTGAATTGAAAAATATTATTTCTTTTATCATTTTATAGTGTAAAATATCTGTAATAAAAACCAAATAAAGAGAGCTGTACACATGGTATTCAGTGTTATAATAGGAACCAATGTATTTGAAAATATTGAAAAATCTCCAAAATATTTAATACATTTCAGTCGATATTCTATTGTTTAACACTGTGATTATTTGTTATTAAATTTAATTGCAATTTATTTTTGAGTTAACCGCATGAGTTAACTGCAAATAATGGACAGCTCTAATTAGAAAATGTTTTGAAAGCTATGATTTCTGTAGCACCTTCAAGTTGTCCCTCTGCAGGTTCCCTTTGAAACAGAAGTTAATAATAACAAGTCCCAGAGCTGTCCTGACATAATTAATAATGTAAGTGTCTAAAATCAGGAAGTAAACAAAAATTCCTAATTTCTACGTCAGTGAAATACAGGAACACAAATCTTAATGAACAAGAACCAAAATCAACCAGAAAATATTTTCAGCCTTCTAACATGATGATTTGATAGTTTTAAAAATGCTTTTAAACATCTGACACAATCCTTTTACTATTTAGTGTCTAGACTTCACAGCCTCTTGGAAGGTCTGCACTAAAATAGCATTACCAGATTACAAAACCTTGACATTGAAATAAAATAAAATCACTTAATCATAAAGCTAAATGTTTTAGGCCATGATTTTATAAGGAAGTCGCATTGGCAGTATTTTGTAATAAGCTGCACTGCATTCCCCACTTTGCTTTAAACACTCTTTGTTTAAAAGAACAGTATAATCTAATTACAGAGTACCTTTGGTACAGCTCCAAGACGAATACTGTTGATCAGGGAGCATTCTAATACCTGCCCTTCCTGGAATGGCAAGAGAAAGCATGTGAGCTCAAAGGTCTGGCAAAACACAGTGCAGATCCAAATAGGAAGTAAAGCAAAAATAAACAAATGATCCTTGCATGCAATCCCAAGTGAATTAACACAAAACAGTGTATTTTCTTTTCACATCAATTAATAACCTGTCAAGAATTTCACTTACGTAACGTCTAAGAACACAGGAGCCAAGCTATCTTACTGTAAACAGTTACAAACTACCTGCAATTTTAGTGATTAAAAATTAGCCAGGAAACAAACTAAGTGCAACAGAGGCAGAGGATCACTTTACCGTACCTTTCCTTCACTTTTCCACCTCAGGAAGAAACCAAATTCATCCACTTGAAAGAGACAGTTTGGTTCAAAGACAAAGGACTCCTGTTGGGAGGGAAATGTAACAAAATATGTTGGTGATGTTGACAAAAACTGTCAGGCATTACTCAGCCGCTCAAAACAAAAGATCTTCTACATTTTCCCTACCTGCCTTCACACAACATTTGCAGTATTGCCAATCTCAAACATTCAGAACTAATCAGTCCCCAGCAATCATGAGAAAGGCTTAAAAATCTCACGATTGAAGCAAAAATATTAGAACGGTTTTTATTTGACTTTTCGGTTTTGAGACATTACAGAAGACTCAGTTCTTTTCAGGCCTTGCTCCATAGCTACAAGGGCTAGAAACATCTCCTTCGAAATGAAAGCTGATTTTCTCACCTAATCACAGGCTTCCAAAAAGAACCTCACCAAATATTGTGAGGCTTGCAAGAACTGGCAACGCTGGGTCAAACCACCACATTTTGCAATTGTATTTGGGATTCAAGAAAAGTGTTTTCATGCAAGTAGGAACCTCGTAGAAGAACTTCTACAAAGTACACACAATAATATTTCAGAGTGTTAGCGTGGGAGAGGAGATCAGTATGCAAAGCAACTGGGAAGAAGTGGTAAACCACATAGATTAGATTAACAAACAATCAGGCCAGACTTACTAAAACCGAACTAAAAAACCCATGTCTCCCCCCCACCCCCAAAACAATTCTAATGTCAGAAATGAAAGGTAAGGACACATCATGCTGTGCCCAGTCAGTCATTTTTAAGGGGTACAAAAAGCCCAGCCTGGCCAATCATTTTTTTAAAATTAAAAAGATTATTTTATAATGAACAGGAAGCATATGTGTAGGGAGCCAGGATGCTGAGAGTGACAGAGGAAAGCGCTTCATTTTTTGTTTGTTTTGTCTGCAGTTTGGTTTGGAAAATGCCCTTGTCCTCTCTAACACAGTACAGCTAGAGCAGCAAGCCCATGCAGACCCTAAAGACCATTTTCTGCCCAAAAGGACCATGTGGACAAGAGGGTTTTTAATTTCTGTGACCATCCCTCTGTGCCTGGAACACCCAGTGACTCTGCACCATCCCTTTGTGCACGGAACACCCAATTAAGTTAATAAGAGTTTTGCTGCAGGATTGGCCAAAAAAAAAAAAAAAAGCCAAACCTGTCTTCTTCACTTCCTTCACCCAGGACACTTTCAGGAGTGAAGGATCTCTGCCTCTTAAATAATAGCACTAAGTATATATAGTGCTTTTCAGATTCAAAGCACTTTGCAAATATTAATTACCTCAGCCCCACTGTGAGATAGGAAACAATTATCTTCATTTTACACATAGGGAAACAGAAAGAAGGGTTAGAATTAGGGATATACAATCCCATTAATGGGATCCTGTCCGTGCAGGGTAGGGATCAGTCCCCTGCCCATGGCGGATGAGAAGCCGCTCCAGCCCCAACTGGTTAACCAGCAGCCAAGCATCACCTGTTAAGATCTTTAGTTAGAATTTGTCATTGACTCAGGGACAGACTCAGGATTGGATATCGCAAGCTCCCTGTGCCTTCTCTTATATTCAGGCTACCAGATACACACCACAGCTTACTGCCTTTTCTTTAATCCTTGTGTATCCCTTTCTTAGAGGCAATGAGACCATTAAGAAAGGGAGAGTGAACTCTGCTCTACCGCCTTAGCTTAGAGCTTTTAGCCCATGTGGTAAAGGCTCATGGCTTTAGCCCCTAAGGTCTCGGGTTCGATGCCACCCACAGTCCACCTGGGTCTGTCAGCTTTACACTCAGCCTGCACAAATGTACTGGATGTGAACTTACCTGAATCACTAGTTTTATAGCTCATGGCTATCCCTGTAAAGCTGCCCATAAAACCTGCAGCTAGCCATCTGTTAAAGAAAGAGCCTTTTAAAGTCTGCATGGAATAGTGATTCTCCACCATTTTGGGATCAAGACCCATTTGTACATGTTTAAAGTCTCTCATGATGCAGGCAGTCGTCTGGGGTTCGAGGTCTCAGAGTGATTTTGGTCAGATCCTACCCCTCCAGAGAGACGGAGTCCTGTCTGGCACTCAGCAAAAAGGAGCAGTCCCTACAGCGCCCTCTAGGGCTATGTCTAGACTGCAAGCCTCTTTCGAAAGAGAGCGTCTAGACTGCACGTTGAACTTTCGAAAAAGCGGCTTGCTGTTTCAAAAGAAAGCATCCAGTGAGTCTGGATGCTCTCTTTCGAAGAAGCCCTATTTACATTGAAGAACGCCTTCTTTCGAAAGAGGAACTTTCGAAAGAAGGCGTTCTTCCTCGTGAAATGAGGTTTACCGCCATCGAAAGAAAAGCCGCGTTCTTTCGATTTAATTTCGAAAGAACGCGGCTTGAGTCTGGACACAGGTGAGGTTTTTTCGAAAAAAGGCTACTTTTTTCGAAAAAAACCCTGAGTCTGGACACAGCCTAGGGTAGCAGCACCCCTCAGGTTTGGGCCCGTGCCCAGCTGGACCAACTGTGTGTGAGTGGAGTTCTGACTTGGCTCATCGGGTTGCAATGCCATTCACTCAACTTCCGCCTAGCCAGGGGGAACTGACAGGAGGGCTCTTGCTATGCGTATGTACAATAAGCACAAACCTGCTTAGGATACGTGCTCACTACGCTAATTCTATCAAATAAACAATAATCATAATGTCAGCCAACCACAAACTGGATGATATAGGTTAAACCTCTCTAGTCCAGCTCCCTTGGAACCTGACCAGTGCCGAACCACAGGTGGTCAATATTGTCTAGCAGCATTACCAACACCGAGAGCCAGGATGGGTGCCTGCAAACAAACTTTATGGAACTGCAGGAAACTTGGCCAGGCCCATGATAAGTGGACATCGGGCTAACTAAAACCCTGCTAGACCATGGATGTTGCTGGACGAGAGTGTGACAGACTAGAGAGGTTCAACCTGTACCATCAAAGGGGTTACGTTTACAAGTATTCTTCAACAAATTTACCATGCCGTGCTTACAGCAAGGAATGAGGATACAGAATACCTACCACATGTTGTACATTAAAAACATTAACCCCATGCTCCAAATTAGGCATGGAGGATCCCTATTAGCTGTCAGTGTCAAAAGAAGCACAGATGGCTCAGAAGACACTGAATGCACCATAGCACTTAAGAATTGATTTATATATACACCGAAAAGGCCTAATTCCATTTCCAAATGTCAACATTGATTAGGTAGGTGAAATTGCTAGCAGTTAAAACAAGGCTCAGAGCTCACTGCACCTGAATCTGTTCCAATGTTAAATGCTGCAATGTTCATATGGTTAGTACTAGGGCTGTCAATTGACATACATTAATGCCTGTGATTAACGCAGTCCAGGATTAACGTGTTTATTTTTTTGAATGTGTTAATCACAGGTGTTAATTCTGTGCTGACCCTGGGTTCCGCTGCCGTGCAAAGCCCAGGGTCAGCTAGGCAGTTCCCAGCTGATCCCAGGTTCCACAGCAGCTACCCCTTTGAAACACCAGAGGTGGCATTTTAAAGGGGCAGCCGTGAAGCCCGGGGGCATCTGGGGACTCCCAGCTGATCCTGGGCTCCCCGTGGCAGCGGAACCCGGGTTCAGCTGGAGACTCCCCAGGTGAACTGCTGCGCAGAGACCAGGATCAGCTGGAGAGTCCCCAGCTGACCTCAGGCTCCACGGCTTCCCCTTTGAAATGCTGCCTTGGAGTTTCAAACCTGCCACAGAAGTACCCCTTCACCTCCACCTTTGCTGCCTCTATCTTATAGAGGTAGCAAAGGCGGGGTGGGGAGGGAATCGACTAGTCTATTAGTCGACTGACTACCAGATAAGCATTTGCTTATCGGATAGTTGACTAGTCTTTAACTTCCCTACTGAGGAGTGCCCAGCTGATCCCGGGCTCCGCGTTGCTTTGCCCCTTTGAAGAGCCGTTCTGGCACTCCAGCTGATCCCGGGCTCGTAATGTGCTGCCCCTTTGAGGCACTGGGATGGCGTTTCCAAGGGGCAGCGCAACGCAGAGCCCGGGATCAGCTGGGCACTCCAGATGACCTGGGGCTCCATATTTCGCTGCCCCTTTGATGCACCACCACGACGCTTCAAAGGGGTAGCGCTGCATGGAGCCTGGGGTCAGCTGGGGACTCTAGCTGATCCTAGGCTCCATGCAGCACTGCCTCGTTCGTTTCAAAGGGGAGGAGCACGCGATTAATCACGTTTACATTTTTTTAATCACTTGACAGCCCTACTTAGTACTATAAAAATGCAGCCCAAATCCTAGCAACTAAACTGAGAACTACTTAAATATGCCATATAACTGGCACTGGAGCCTTCTATTTCCAGGCTGCTTTTAAATGATGCCAAAACTCAACCACACTCAGCTACTTGCATCTTATAATCTTAGAAAGATAGGGCTGGAAGAGTCAGCGAAACGTCACCAGGTCCAGTCTCATGTGCTGAGGCAGAAACTGTAGACCATTCATGACAGGTCTTTGGCCAAGTTCTACACTAGACCCAGAAGATTGGTTTAAGGTATGCAACTCCAGCTTCATAAACAACAAGGCTGGAGTGAAACATACCTTAGCCGGACTTGGCACTATCTTCATGGCGGGAGTCAACGGGAGCATTTCCCTTATTCCTTGTGACTGTGAGGAGTACTGATGCTGACTGGAAGTGCCCTCAGTGTTCAATTTAATGGGTCTTAACAAAACCCACTAAATGGAAGGCCAGAAGCTGGATCTCCAGTTTGAACATATAGATATGGCCTTTGTCTAGGCCAGGGCTACTCAACACAGAGGCCATTTGTTTGCAGCTCGCAGTGTGGTTTGGGTTAACACAGGGCTCAACATGTGGCCTGCAGGTGGGATCCTTTGAACATGTCCTCCACTGGGAACACGCTCCACAACAGCGAGGCATCTCCCAGGCGGGGTGAGCATTTAAAGACACAAGCGGACGGGCTGGCTGGTACAGGGTGTCAGCATTTCTAGTCCCCAGGGAGGAGGTGCCGGGAGCACCAGGGCATTGTGGGAAGTGCTGTGTATTCATGCCCATCAGTGTGAAAGAAGTTATTTACATATATTTGTGTATATATTTGCATGTATATGCAATCACACCTAAGTTGTGGCCATCAACATTTGCTGTGACTGTCACTGTGGCCACCGAGGCTTCCAAAGTTGAGTAGCCCTGGTCTAAGCTGTTCTTAAAAGCCTCCCATGATGAGGATTCCACAGCTTCCCTTGGAAGTGTATTCCAGAGTTTATTCATCCTATAGTTGCTGAATATAGAACCTAAAACTCTCATGCTACAGATTAAGCCCATTAGTTCTTCTCCTACCATCTGTGACATGGAGAACAATTCACCACCATCCTCTTTTAAACAACTTAACATATTTGAAGACTGTTCTGTGGTCCTCCTTCAGTCTTCTTTTCACAGGACTAAACATGAACAGTTTTTTAACATTTCCTCCTACGTCAGGTTTTCTAAAGCTTTTATCACTCCTCTGGAGTCTCTCCAATTTGCCCACAACTTTCCTAAAGTGTGAGACTTAGAACTGGACACTGTTCTTCAGCTGAGGCCTCACCAGTACTAAGTGTCACACTTTAGGAAAGATGTGGGCAAATTGGAGAGACTCCAGAGGAGTGATAAAAGCTTTAGAAAACCTGACGTAGGAGGAAATGTTAAAAAACTGTTCATGTTTAGTCCTGTGAAAAGAAGACTGAAGGAGGACCACAGAACAGTCTTTAAATATGTTAAGAGTACTGGTGAGGCCTCAGCTGTAGAACAGTGTCCGGTTCTAAGTAAAATGGGACAATTACCTCCCATGTCTTACATATCACACTCCAGTTAATACATCCCAGAATTCTATTAGCCTTTTTTGCAACTGTATCACATTGATGAATTTCATATGAATATTAATTTCATATTCAATTTGTGATCTACTATAACGCCCCTCCAGATCCTAGTACTAACCATTTAGCTAGTTATCCTATATTTCATAGCTGTGTGTCTGATTTTTCGGAACAAATCATTAAATAGTTTGTAACCACCTAGAGGATAATGGGCTTATAAAGAATATTCAGCTTGGATTTGTCAAGAACAAATGAAGCCAATCTAATCTAGCTTCCTTCTTTGACAGGGTTTCTGGCCTAGAAGATAGGGAGGAAATAGTAGAGGTGATATATGTTAATTATAGTATGATTTTTGACACTGTCCCACATGGTGTTCTCCTAAGCACATTAGGGAAATGTGGTCTGGATGAAATTACTGTAAGGTGGATACATAAGACCACACTCAGGGTATGTCTAGACTACATGGCTCCGTCGATGAAGCCATGTAGATGAGTTTACTAGACATAGGAAAATGAAGTGGCGATTTAAATAATCACCGCTTCATTTACATCAAAAGGGCCACCGCACTGTGCCGATCAGCTGTTTGGCGGCACAGCGGGGCAGTCTGGATGCACCGCGGTTGACAAGGGAAGTCTTTGTCGACTGCTCCGGTATGCCTCGTGAAATGCCCCACTCCAAACTGCCCCACTCCAGACTGCCCCGCTGTGCCACCAAACAGCTGATCGGCACAGTGCGGTGGCCCTTTTGATGTAAATGAAGCGGTGATTATTTAAATCGCCACTTCATTTTCCTATGTCTAGTAAACTCATCTACATGGCTTCATCGACGGAGCCATGTAGTCTAGACATACCCTGAGTGTGGTCTTATGTATCCACCTTACAGTAATTTCATCCAGACCACATTTCCCTAATGTGCTTAGGAGAACACCATGTGGGACAGTGTCAAAAATCATACTATAATTAACATATATCACCTCTACTATTTCCTCCCTATCTTCTAGGCCAGAAACCCTGTCAAAGAAGGAAGCTAGATTAGATTGGCTTCATTTGTTCTTGACAAATCCAAGCTGAATATTCTTTATAAGCCCATTATCCTCTAGGTGGTTACAAACTATTTAATGATTTGTTCCAGTATCTTTCCAGGCATCCAAGTTAGGCTGACTGTCCTAGCTGATTGTGCGAGAGAACACCAATGTTCTCATTATTAAACATTCCTGAAAGCAAAATTACATGAATTTCATTGGATCAGCTGAGCCCATTTTTTAGCATGTGATCAATCGGTCAAACAGCATTTGCAAATTGAAAAATAGAGAATTTGAGGTCCTTTTTTTCCAAAGGGCAACATTTACTAGCTATATTTCCTACCAGTTTACCTATTCCGGCATTAAAAGTGGGGAATGAGAAACCTAGGTCTACCTTAGCAAGCGACTCTGATAAAAATACATTTTGTTCATTTCCAAAGATTAAAGAAAAGCATACTAACCTAGAAGCCATTTCTTAAAATACTTTTAACATAGAGATTTTCAGTCAAATAAATAAAGATTAAAAATAAACCTTAGCAAAACTATTTTCATAGGCAAACTGATACTGAATATAAAGCAAGGGTCTCTGCATTTTATTCTGGTAGCTTGTATCAAATGTTATGTCCCACTTTCCTTTCCTTCAACAGACCTGGATTAAATTGTGGCTGAAAGCAAGATCATATTAATCATATTCCAGATAAAGCACAGGTCAATTGATTAAAGGAGATAAAAACCACTCTTGACCTTCAATGGTGTCTTTGATTTACAGTGTACTTGTTTTGGTGATCTATTTTTCCATACAGCATGTAGGTTCTTAGTCTATTTTTACAAGTAGGAGAATTCTTTCCCAACAGAGTGAATTTAAAAAAGGACAGGGTAGACTTCTTTTGGTTATATGGTTTGGGTATCATGACCCCCTACAACAGAGAGCTGTATATATGTTACAGATACATTTCAAATTAAATCCCTTCCTTCTCTTATTGTGGATTATTTTCAAATCAGAGGATTAAATCAGCCATTGCAAAATGTATTTTAAAAAGGGGGAGCAAGCTGCAGGAAGAAACTGTATCATGACAAAGTGTTAATATTTCTTTTCTATCTTCATGCAAATTTTCCATTTAAAGCTTTTATTTGCGTAAAATCTCAAGAAAAATGAATTGTTTTTGTAATATTTACAGCATGTAAAAAAGGCAGGGAAAGGTGGAGGAATGTTCACCAACGGGTCCCTTACCTCTTCATATCTGTCAAACACAGCTCCATCTTGCATAAAGGCAGGGACTGACTTCTGCCAGTTAAATTCATACGGTTTTGCCATGATTATGCGTGAAAAACCTGAAATGAAATGGAAAGAAACAGCACAGCTCAGTTGTGGCTTTCTACAAGGATTATTGCATAGAGACTTAGAGAACAACAGCTGTGTTTTAACTTTTCTTGCAGCAAAACAGTTTACAAAAGCACTACAGTGGGTTGTATATTAAGAGTTTTCCTCAAATAATATTAGTTTATCTTTGATTAAAAAAATACAATTTTAAACGAGAATATGACTGAAAAATGTTTTAAAAAGTGATTGAATATGACAACTGTCTGAAAAACTACTGAAGATTGTATCGTTAATCAATTTTAATACCTGTTTAAATCAATGCAAGAGTTTAATTAGGTGCAGATTAACATACACCTCAGTAACATTCATTAACACAGCTGGTAATATATGCAAAGTATTTCACTCAAAGTTAAGTACCACAGCAGAATCACACACCAAAAGGCAAAATGTTTTTACATTTTTACTTTGGATTTTATATTTCAAACGCCATCTACCCTACACAAACTTGCTATTTTCAGCAATATTTTTCACACATCTATATGAAATATGCAGGTATATTATCCAGGTAGTGATACACAGAGAAAAACCAGTAGAAAAGCATATAGTATGGAAAGGAGTTTATTTACCACTACCATGGATTTTTGTACAAGAGGAAAGAAATGTGGATTAACAGTCAATATTAATTCAAGATTAACTAAAACCTCAAAGTATAAAGTCCATTTTAATTTAGAGTGATTTTTTTTAAACCAACAAGGTATGAGCATTCTATATCTGAACATACCTTACTCACAGTGAGCAGAGCAGCACTGACCTCCCCTGGTCTGGGAAACTCCCTGGTTTGGGACCACAGAGGTCCAACCTGTGTTTAAAAACTTGGGGACTGGACTACTACTTTCATTCATGCCACTCAGTACCATATTCTGTGAGAAGTCCCCGCTGATTTCACTAGCACTGTTTCTGTCAACAGATAGAACTTGTTGTGAGGAAAGATGGCAAAATCTAGCTGTCAGTCATTATATATGCTCTAACTTAAAATCTTTGGTTCACCCAGAGATGTAGGTATTATCCTGGGTAAGCAGCACCACCCCAGAGGGCCCAGTGCTCAGACATTCCCAAGTCACCACTTCTCTCAAGCTTTCTTCTTGTTCTCGGGTGGTCGGAATACGCTGCTAGCCTGCATCAGCAGTATACTGCTTCTTAGGGGAGATAGCTACGAGAGAGCCGAGGTCTTCCCCATTCCGTATATTTGCCTATATTTTCTCCACCCTCTTGCATGAAGGATAGATAGTGCCTCCTGGAAACTGTCCTTCTATCCACATGATGGACTAATGAAAGGGTGCCCCTTTTCCCTAATGCAGGCACACTGGATGAGCAACCATCTTGCCTAAGGCTGTGTCCAGACTCAGGGTTTTTTTCGGAAAAAGTAGCCTTTTTCCGAAAAAACTTCACCTGCGTCTAGACTGCAGCCGCGTTCTTTCGAAATTAAATCGAAAGAACGCGGCTTTTCTTTCGACGGTGGTAAACCTCATTTTACGAGGAAGTGCTCTTTCGAAAAAAGGTGTTCTTGAATGCAAACAGGGGTTTTTCAAAAGAGAGCATCCAGACTGCCTTTCAAAAAAGTGGCTTGATTTTTCAAAAGTTCTGCTTGCAGTCTAGACGCTCTTTTTCGAAAGAGGCTTGCAGTCTAGACATAGCCTAAATGAGCAAAGCAAGAAGCAGACATAAGACTCGGGAGAAGTGTTACTACAGGCTGTGGAATCAGTGTTATGGAAAATTCCTTTGCTGTGGTTTTGCACTACAGAATTCTAAATAGCAGCCTGAAACACTGTCACCCAGAACTAGAACACAGCTTCCACTGTACAGAAAAAATGTATGAATTTCAACTTATTTCATTGTATCGTTAACTTCAGAACAGATAAAGGTGTTCCCAAAAGCAAGGTCTGATATCTTCTCGCTCACTCTCTCTTACCACAGAAGTTTCTAACAGAAGAACAAATGGTCTGAAATGGCACCATTAGGAGACTTATGTAAGATTGTTTTCCAGAACAGATACCTCTGATAAATTCTCCCCCCCACCCCCAAAAAAAAGGCCTTATCATGGCAGTGGAAAGGGGAGCAGCCATGAATTTGTATGTTATTAGTCTCTTCATCTCCTGCCTTTTGTCAAACAGTCATTGATATGCACACCTAAATACACAGATGAACAGCCTACATGAAGACAGCCAGACCTTCTACATACATAAGTTCAATTTAGGTACCGTAACGATCAGAAATATAACTGGACAGTGATATAGAACATTGTCATGATTATGAGCGTTAGCCAGTAGCCTGGGGATTTAGGAGTTAACTATACCTAGCCAGGTGAAGTGACCAGTAGGAATGTAGGTGGGACTTTCAAACTGGGACAAAGGAATTTGGGTTTTTTCCTTTCTCCTTTTGTTTCTCTAGGTGAGTCCTCTGAAGCTACAGGGAGGGACATGCATGTCTCTCTCTCTCCAAGAAACAATTCTTCACTTTCTGTAAGTAGGGTAAAGTTTATGTAGTTTCGTTAGGCTTTATTGTTTTAAGGGCTGGGTATGGGATCTGATATCTGGCACTGCTTAAGAGATGTTTAGCTTTTCTTTTTAACTAAGTTCTAGCCCATGGTGTAATTCCTCCATGAGTATATTTTGTTACCTATCCATCTAGTCATTATACTTGCAACAGGAATATTGTTGTAATAATAAAAGTTCTTTCTTTTCTTTTTATTAACCTGGCAGTGGTTACTTGTGTGTCCTGATTTTTATAATAGGGGTGAGATTTCCCAAATGATCTTTCCCCTAATCTCGTTATTAATATTTGGGTGGTGGTAGCGGAAGTTTTATTCAAAATCTAGGTTTTTAAGACTTTGGGGGAAGTTTTATACCAAATCCTGGTAGATAAGTCTTTGGGGTATACTTACTGGCCCCCACTTCTGCGTTTATCATGCCAGAGTGGGGAAGGAGCCATGACAAACTTCATTATCATTAATTCGCTGCTTCAGCTGCAAATGTTTCTATTTGCCGTAATGGATAAAAATGGTCACTACAATCTCCAATAAAAAAGAATTAGTCTTTACGTAATATTTAAAGAGGATTCAACTGTATTGTGTCTTCTCAAAAAGAGAAGACAAAGGATGGCCTTGTGAGTAAAGCACAGGGCCAGGTGGTAGGACACAGTGGTTTTACCTGCGCTCTGCCACAAGCTTCTTGTATAACCCTGGGCAAGTAGCTTAATCTCTCTGTGCATTCACTGTGCCACTCCCAAGTGAGAATGAGGCATGCCACATGGGGCTGTAAGAGATTTTGAGATCATTTCATGAAAGGGGTTATTTTCTCAATATTATTTAAAATAACACAGTTTCTGCTTCTCCCCAGTTTTGATTCATGGGGAGATCCCTTTTTTCTCACACATAGAAAATTGCAAGTTAGAGCCTCTTGTTATAGTTCAGGTGATAGCATCTGTATTCCCCCTCTATGGTCCACCAAAGGCATCTACTCTAGGCATCTCCTTAGCCATCACCTCTTTTGGGCAGAGACATGTGACTCTCTTCCTCCTGATTGGGATTTTTCCAGGATGCACAGCTTCTTGTCTAACTGTGATATCCCAGCAAGCCAGACTGCCTAAACAGGCCAGCATCTGCATATTATTATGAACAGCATTACTGCCAGCAGTAATAAGTTATCACACAGTTCTAAGTGCATTTATTTTTAAGGTTGAAAGGATTACAAAGAAAAAAATAAAACAATAAAAGATCCTATACTTGCACTAACAGCGTACCCAAACATCGCCAATCAGTGTTATGGGCCCTTAGCCAGGCAAAGCTTTTCCAGGAAGGACATTTCTCCCTGGTCTTAGACAGAAGGTCCCTGCCCATTTGCTGGATCAGAAAAAATCATAGAACTGTAGGACTGGAAGAGACTGTGATGGATAGGAGGAGTGCTGGCCAGCACTCTATGACTAAAGGGTTAAACCCAGGTAGCTAAAGGTGTTAGCAGGGGGCCAGAAGAACCAATGGGATACGGTGCTGAAATATGAACTGTATATAGATACCTGCTGCCTTTCTCTTTGTGTGAGTTCTAAGTTAAGGGCTGGAGGGAGCAAGATGCAGTCATCAGAACTACCTTGCCTACAAGGCATATCAGTTTAGAAAAGAGGAGACTGAGGGGGGATATGATAGAGGTCTATAAAATCATGAGTGGTGTGGAGAGGGCCGATAAAGAAAAGTTATTTATTAGTTCCCATAATAGAAGAACTAGAGGACACCAAATGACATTAATGGGGAGCAGGTTTAAAACTAATAAAAGAAAGTTCTTCTTTACACAGCGTGTAGTCAACCTGTGGAACTCCTTGCCAGAGGAGGCTGTGAAGGCTAGGACTATAATAGAGTTTAAAGAGAAGCTAGATAATTTCATGGAGGTTAGGTCCATAAAAGGCTATTAGCCAGGGGATAAAATGGTGTCCTTGGCCTCTGTTTGTCAGAGGCTGGAGAGAGATGGCAGGAGACAAATCGCTTGATCATTGTCTTCGGTCCACCCTCTCTGGGGCACCTGGTGCTGGCCACTGTCGGTAGACAGGATACTGGGCTAGAAGGACCTTTGGTCTGACCCAGTACGGCCGTTCTTATGTTCTTATCATGAGTAGAGAGGGGAATGTATGTTTTGTCACAATCAGGGTATTTTTCTTTGTTTTGGTTGTTTGAATAAGCTTCTCTGTAAAATCCATGTGCTCTCCCCCCATTCACTATCTAAGCTGTGCCCAGAGATACTGTGTTCTCTGTGTTTAAATTTGTTTCTCTCAGTGGCTCTGTAACACCTAGCAACCAAGCATGCTTTATTAAGGATATCTTTTGTTTTTTGTTAAAATTATCTTTTTTAAGGCCATGATTTGATTCCTGAGACTTGGAAAGTAACAGGTCTGTGTGTGTGTGTGTCTGCTGAGCCTGAGAGATCAGCTATCAAAGACACAGTTTGTTTTCTGTGTTTTCTTTGTT